CCCTAAATACTCCTTTAGAAAACAATTTTCCTTTATGTAACTTTTTTTTTTTTTTTCTGATTTTCATTAATTTCTTCTGTTTGTAAATAGATCAATTGTTTAAGTATCTCATTTTGAGTATAGAATGTTTCCCATACTTTTCTTTCTGTGTTCTTTTTTATTTTGGCACTCTACATTACACTCTCACTATACAAAAGTGCTTGGCTTCTGAGGTCTGTTCCTTGTTTACCACCCCCCACATTCTTTGTTTATAACTTGAATCAAAACTTTTCACCGATGGCGAATATTAATCATTGGGGAGTTGGGGATCTATGTTTAAAGCATGAGTTGATTTGTTTTGTGGCCTCAAAACATTATCGCCCTATACTAATCTGTTATCTTATCGCATTGTATTTATTTTTCTTTGAACCATTCCGAGATCCTGTGACTAGTTTTGTATTTATGTAATATGAACTATTCCACCTCTCTTCTGCTATACTCCCACTGCTGATTCTGCATCTTAATGAACATAATTACTCAACCCAACAAACTTACCTAATATGAAATTTTTCATCTCCTGTTGCAGGTCACTGACAACCACTACAGGCCAGATCTGACCAACTCAGCTCTAGCACGGCTGAGTGCAGTCCATCGAAGCCTTAAGGTTTCCAAGTCTGGCGCAAAGAAGAGGAACAGACAGGCTCTTAAAGTGAGAAACTAGATCAATGCTTGTGTCCGTGGATTGTCTTATTTAGCTGTCCTTTATTTGGTCTTTGGTTCACTAAGTTTTAGTGGAAGAATTTCTGTCACCCGGAATTTTAACTCGTTTTCTATTGTTGATTTCATTACAAGAGTTTTAATAATCTAGTTTTATTTGAGATGAACTTCTTTAATATTTGGCACATGATCTTGATACAAGCAATGTTTGGATAGTAAGTCTTGGCACATTATGATCTTTGTTCATAAGAGCAAAGAATTGTTTTTGCTTCTTAAGCCATGATGAAGAGCCGTGTCTTTCTGGAAACCTTAGACAATACCAAACATGTTATACTAGCAATGTTTTGTGAAATGTATGAATTCAATCAATCTGCTCATTATATGTCAATCACAGCTTCATTAGAAATTAGATTCTGTTCAACTTTAAATGAACGATACAACGAACATTGTTTATTTCTCTTTGGATATTTTTTTTATTACAAAAAAAAAAGTCTGAGAGTCATATTGTTTATCTGTAGCAATTGATTGTCCATGTTTTGCACCTACAGAACCTGTAGGTGCAATCACGAAGGGAGTATTATCCATCTTGTGAGTGTGGCATGTGGTATTGTAGATGGTTCTGTAGGTGCAATCAGGAAGGGAGTATTATTGTCCATCTTGTAAGTGTGGCATGTGATATTTATTATATATAGATGGTTCTGTAGGTGCAGGGAGTGTTATCCATCTTGTACGTGTGGCGTGTGGTATTATATATAGACATTTGCAAGGCTAATCAACATCAGAACCAATGGGTCCAAAGTCATCCTTTTCTGTGGGGGCCCGTATCGTCTCTCTCTCTCAATCTCGTGAAAGAGAGATGGAGAAGAAGAAGGGATGGCAGCAAGATTCGTTTGGTGTGGTTTTGAGGGCAACACCCTTTGTGACAGGAAGCGATACGACAAGCGCTGTACTTTTTTTCTTGTAGCCGGAGAGATGGCATCATGTTGGATGCGAGAGAGCAACGTCAGATGGTGCTGACACGACAATGATACGGTGCCAACTAATATTTTGGTGATCCTCGTCGACCGACCTGAGGAAGGCATCGGCGATAGATAGTTTCTTGTTATATCAATAGAATGCATGGTGGATTAGCTACGGAGTTACTGTCATGCCATATCACAAGAACTACGTGAAGGTAACAAATGGTCAACAGTAGCTCAAACCTACCTCATCTTTCATTCTTCTCTTTTGTCGTCACGAGGCTATCGTTCTATAGTTAATTGGTGCCCCGGGAGCATTCATTTCAGTGTCTCCACAGGTCTTGCTGCTTTGATTCGATGTGCCGTGTGCTCAAAGCTTCATAACTGAGCTGTAGTACGTGGGTGTAAAGGGCCCACTCGCAGCACCACAGCTCTCGCTTCGCTTCCTTGGGTAGCTTCGATTCTGATCATGGAGTGGTTGAAGCAACACGTTGAAGGAACGCCGCGTTGTATCACCGGAAAGTATCCCTGCCGGCCGTCTGCGGCAATTTGTTTTTATGTCGGTTGGTCTCATCTGGAATTAGCACGCGTTCATTTGCTAAACCCGATTGTCTCCTCTTTTTGACGTTCCCAGTAATTAAAAACACTTATGTTTGTTCTAATCGTACTTGCTGTGCAACCTGTAGCGGTAAGCAATTTTGAGAGCCGTGGCCTCGGGGCTGATGCGGCTCGATTCGGGTCCGGACGTCGGGGATCTCCCGGGGGCGTGCCTCGAGCCCGTGGAGGCGGTCGAGTGCGATGGTCCGGCTCGTCGTCCGCGCGTCCAGCGGGGACTCCCGGCTTCGCACCTGCACAAGGGTCGGATTGGGCGGGTCGGGAAGCTCGACCCGACCCCTCCGACGATCAAGTTAGAAGAAGATGTGGAGGGAGTTTAAGAAGAAGAAGCGTTTGTATGTGCGACCTCTCTGTCTCCTCCGTCCTCCCTCGCTCGTTCAGAGTGCGAGGATATTTATAGGGAGGTTTACTGTTTCCTGATGTGCCCGCTTGCAGGAGGCAGGCTGGTTGCGTCTGACATTGATTTGGCGTGGTGTAAAGAACCGAGCCTGAGTAGGTGTTAATGCGCCTTGGCCAGTGTTCCGGTCCGTTTGATCGGGTGCCGTCGCGTCGTCCAAGGCGTGAGGCGTCATCTGACGTCAATCGGGTATCATAATTACTATCCTCATCACAACGAATGTGTTATTTATTTGAGGGAAATATGTATGTCGAGTGACTGAAGGTAATATATAAATCATTATATTTTTCCTTTTCTCTCTTCTCGCCTTTATTGTTTCACGGGTTCATTGTGATATGATGCCTTTCAGGTCTCATTTATTATTGTTACAACAACATCGAGTATTGCCAGTCGCAGTAATACTCATTTCAGACGGTGTGGATGGTGGGAGAGATCACCGAATCAACTACAAGACTGAGCTGAAAGATAAATAAATGTCTTCCTCCTCCACATTGCTAACCTTTGCTTCACTGCACCGTCAGCAGCGATTGCATGAGGTCGAAGCAATTATTATCATCAAGGAGGATTTAAAGAAGAAAGAATGATGATGATGATGATGATGATGATGGCAGCAGCTAACAATTCCAATAAAGATAGGTGATGATAATGTCGGGTTGTTTCGGATCTCGTTCCAACAAAGAAAGAAAGAAAGAAAAATTGCACACAGAGCAGAGCGGCTTTCTTCCATCGCAAGAAACAACAGAGAGCAAATGCAACAGTTCCATTTCTCGATGGAAATCATAGCATCCGGGGAGGTTTGCCGCAAAGGCTACAGTTTCCATCAAGTACAAGAGGAGCACAAGAACACAGATCGGAACAAACACACAAAATATACAACGCAGGCAGAAGAAGACACTTCTTCTACTTCTTACCGTCCCCCACACGCTCACTTCCAGCCGATACCATCTTCCCACATGCGACGCCCACCGGGAGCGCAGCAGGGTATTCCACGGGCGCCACCGGGCGCCGAGAGACCAGCGCAAGCCACATGAACACCACGAAGAACGCTACCATCGCGCCACAAGCAGCAGCAAACAGCATCGCCATGAAGACTCCCCAAGGGTACGCCCCCCCCCTTCGTGGATGAAGAAGCGGAGGAGGGCTCTCGGTGGGTCGCACCAGGAATGAATTGGGATTCAGAGGCTCGGAGTGCATCAGATATGGCGATCCGTGCTTCGATGTAAAATTCCACCGGTACAGAGTGCTGGTCTTCGTTGAGTTTGCATTCCAACAACTCATGCCCACCGTCACTGCCTCCCGCCACAAGGCGTTCGACAGATCGACCGAGCAGGAGATCGAAGAGTTCATCGGCCTCGATGAATCCCTCGAGTGGCTCAGCCTCACTTCGATCCTCTTCGATTTCCCATCGTAGTCGATCCATGACTGCAGCTTATCTTCCACGCCAGAGAGATTGCTGCTTTTCTTCAAAGCTTGGCCACCGACATCGATTTCGATAAGGGTTCCGCTTCCATTGCTGTATTTCTCGCGGTTTGACCTCCCAAACTTCACTGCCACGAGACTCGTCGAGAGCCCAAACCGATCCGACTCCAGAGGAACGCTGCTTGGCATCAGGAAGAAAGCGAGAACCTGACCGTCGCCCGGAGGGATGGAGAACGACAAGTAGGAGGAGAACCCAGGCGTCGTCCCCAAGAACCTGATGGACTTTCGGTACGCGATCCGCCCGAAGCTCGAGTTCGCCGGCCGCGTGATCCTCACCGCCGACGAGCCACTCACCTCGGCGTCGCCGAACAGCTCGAACTCCGACTCGAAGCTCCGATTTTTCTCAAACCCGTCGAAAGAGAAGCAGAAATCCGTGGCCCTATCCAGCGCCTGACAACTCCGTCCCGACAAGAACACAACAAAGAGGAGGTGGGCGACGAAGAAGAAGGCGGAGGCCATTGCAGAGATCTGGCAGCTTCGAGGCAACTCCCTTTCAAAGCTCGCGCCTTTCTTCTTCCATAGCACCGAATCGCCAGTCGGAAGCTGTTTCCTACGGCGTTCGGCAGAGCAGCGGTGGATCCAAGTGGGTAGATGTCGGCCGCACGAGCGACTGAGGGAGGTGGGTGGATTAGGTTAGGGTTAGGGTTGGCGCTTTGGGCTGAGGGGGGAAAGGAAAAGGAGAATTAATGGCGTGCGCGAGGCGGACGAAGCCCGAGAATAATCTCACTGACACAGCTGCTTTACTCTTCCGCGGTAGTAGAAAAAGGAAACTAAGGCGAAAAAGGTCTATAAAAGAAGAAGATGATGTTGATGATGGCAATGTAGCCGTCTGATTTCTTAAGCGAGAAGATGGACGGACGGATGTAAAGTACCGTTGAGCTGCTGTCTTCAAGACGCTCGGGTCCCGCAAGTGCCGGGTACCGGCCGTCGAATAGCCGCTCGGGTAGGTTGATGGGTTATGAACGTCGATGTGTCTTGTGTTTCTGCGGACCGCGTGGCTTCGATTGACTGAATCACCCCGGTGTCACTTCCGGGATGATGTGGATTCTCGCGGAGCTGATACCCGTGGGAGTCCACGCCATACGGGAACGTGTTCCGGGGTGATTCAGTCAATCCGCGTTAGAATGTATTCTTCTTTTAACTTTGGGTTGTCTTTTCTGAGGCCAGGTTGCGAGCGCCACGCTGCTGCCAGCCAACGAGGTTTTGGCAGCGAACGAGGCGTCGATCGGCGCGTGATGGCTGGTCCTGCCCACGGCTCGGGCTTCCGTCCGGGTCGTGCGATTGGAGGAGGAGGCGCGATGAAGCAGCAGCTGATGACACCCCGGCCACAATAATTGTGGCGTAACTCCACGACAAACGCAAAAGGCTGCCTGGACACGACAGCGCGTGGATGGCGACCGTGGGAATCAGAGTTACCTCCCTCGTCCACATTTTGTCGAAGACCTTTCCTGCGTGGCCGTTGCGAATCCAGAATGAGCCCATTGGAGCAGACGGCGAGTTGGGCCACGGAGCCCAAGAAGGGGACGGGGGAGGCATTGAGGAGATTGTGCTGTCTACAATGGTAAACTTGCGGTCTCTTCTTTCATCCGTCAGCGCTCGGTGGACTACGGAGCCCAGATTGCGGTTAAGCGGTCGGTAGTCCTGCTATTATTTCTTCGGACGCAGAAAGTAAAAGAGAGGAAATTAACGGAAGCCCCGGCCATGGAGACCGTCGTCGATCCCGCCCCTTCGACGGCCTCTCCTTCTTCCCCCGTCGTCATCGTGGACGGCCAGGCCGCCGGATCGGCGTCCGCGGCGGCGGGGGAAGGGAGCAGCGGCGACGGGGTGGTGCGCGATGGACCCCCGAGCGGAGGCGGTGCGGCGGCGACGGAGGACCGGGTGAAAGGCCCGTGGTCGCCCGAGGAGGACGCGATCCTGAGCCGGCTGGTGAGCAAGTTCGGGGCGAGGAACTGGAGCCTGATCGCGCGCGGGATCCCGGGGCGGTCCGGGAAGTCATGCCGCCTCCGGTGGTGCAATCAACTCGATCCTTACGTCAAGCGCCGGCCTTTCACTGGTACTTCCTCCAATAACTTGTTTGCATCTTCTCCCTTCAACTGTTTATATCTGTCGATGGTGCTCTTTTAGTGTCTATCATTACAATATTGGCGAATCCTCCAAACCCTCGAGACGAGAACGACGAGATTTATAGGTTTCTTATGGACATTAACATCGATCTCCATCTAATCTAGAAGGGTTTGGTGATAAACCTCATTCTTGTGATTTGGGAGTTTGAGTTCATAGTCTTGCGGAAATAACCTGAATTAATAATGTTTTCCTTGGCTGTTCTGATGGCATGTTGGTCCTCCTAATTTTATTTTCATTTACCACATGATAAAAATTCATTTGTGCTGCTATATGTTTGAGAGATTATGCTGCACGAAAATGGAATGGTAGGGTTGGTGGAAGGACAAATGCTCGAAGCTGTGTGCCCTCAGTATTTGTAATTATGCTTTTCTTCGAACAATGTTCAGGTTTGGAGCAATGATTCGTATGCACATCGGTCTTTTTTATAAATTTGGCTTCTCAATTCTACTGCAATAGAACAGTTCGTAACAGAGTGAACTTCCGATAGTAATCAAAAGATTGTGGATGTTTTCTTGCATCCGCATCTAACGTTCTAGAATAAACCTTTTGGTCGTGTTGGTTTAGGGCTAAGCCTCTTTAGCTAAGACGTTGATTAATAGATAAAGGCAGGTTATTTGAGGATGATAACTAACAAGAGTAGTAATGGAGATATGAATGAAGGAAGAACTAATGATATAGAAAGGGGATGCGAGAAGATAGACAATAGTAGTTTATACTATTCCACGACCTTCCGTGGATTATATTCTCCTATGTTCTTCGAGATAAATTCTTGTTTGCCATAGTAATTTGTTTTATCTTATAGCTCTTTCTTGTTTGGCTACATAAATCCTTAAGTCACCATCATCGCTTATTGATGCTCAAACGAGATGTATGTTAGGGATATAGGAGGTGCTCGAACCTCAAGGTTAGTTTGTTCTCTTTGGGGAAACTTTTAGTTGCATGATCGCGAAGTGACTAATCATGACAGCTCAGACAAACAAGTATAATGATATCTCGGCAGGGGAGAAAAATTGCCACTAAAGATGGTCGCACTTGTTTGTGGTGTCAATTTTGTTAAAATTAATTGTTCTGTATTTCTAGCATCCATTCATTGATTAAATATATTTCTTTAGAAGTAGTAATATTTCAATGGAAGAGCTTTAGGTGGCTCTACATTCATTGCCTTTACAACTCGTGTTTTGTTTACTGACGGCTAGGAATATTCTAATAAGATGCTCTCTTTTTTTATCAACTTTAATAAAGTTGGAGGTTGTCCCAACCAACACCCTTATTTTTAGATCCTATCAGTTCTTCTCAATATGAAAGGGTGTGTAATTGGATAAGAGGGAGCGTAGGATAATAAGCAAGCTTGCATCACAGTTCATGATAAGAAGTACTTAGTAAATGTTAAGTTAAATTAGCATTCTGGAATATGTTTAGACAACAACTAAAAGTTATAAATGCTACAGGATACCACATGGGAGAATGAAAAGTGAGAAAGATTCTGAGTTTGGCTTTTAGAGAAAATAAGAAAGCTGCCTCATTAACTAATCTATACGCATGTAACAAAACCATTCTTGAGGGTTTGGTCTGCTGAGATAAGATAATGTGAATACTTGACACGAGTATGACTTCCATACTCCTCTGTTGCTGATGTAATTTCTGTTTAACACTAGTGAACACCAGTGAATGAATGTCTTCTCTTTTAAACAAGAAAAAAATAGTATGACTGGTTATTATAGCCTGTTTATCTCATATTTTATGGGAGTTCTTTAGTTTCTTTATAGAAGTTGCAATTTGTTCTTTATTCTATTATACTTAACAACCTATGTCAGGGATAACCGGTAGCTTTTGCATTTAATTATGCTAGATGGATTTTCATCTTAGACTAATTATGATGATACTTAATCATCTTTTGGAAGTGTTCAGATTAATAAACAAGTTTGGTTGTGTCTGTTACAGATGAAGAGGACCGTATCATTATTGCTGCTCATGCAATCCACGGTAACAAATGGGCATCAATTGCAAGGCTTTTAGAAGGGAGAACTGACAATGCTATAAAGAACCATTGGAATTCCACTTTGCGACGTAGATGCAATGAAGAAGCTGAATGGTGTAAAACAACTGCATCTGATGCTTTGAAGGATGCCACCATTGAGAAAACCAAAGGTTCTCTGGATGAATCTCCCTCTTTTAGTTACAGCAATTCCTTCAAATCCATGGAAGCAAGAGAAGCTAGTTTAAGGGAAAATGCTTTTGATGATTCCAGAGAGGTTGTCATCATAAGAGATGAAGAAGCTCCAAAGCCTGAGATAAAAGACCCACCTTACCTCTACCGGCCGGTTGCAAGAGTGAGTGCATTCAGCCCGTATAATCGTATGCCTGGTCGGTCAGCTGGTCCTCAAGTGTCTAGGGGAGATAAACTGGGTCATCCGCTGTATGAAATCTTTAAACCAGGTGGTGGCATCTGTAAATTGCTCAACAGTACTTGCTGTGACCCTCAAGTTCCACACCAGTGTGGGCATGGTTGCTGCAGCACTCCGGCTAAGAGTCATTCCGGTAGCTCTCTCTTGGGTCAAGAGTTCATCGAGTTCGTGGAGCCACCACCGATTTCAAGCGATGATTTGGCTGCCATAGTGTCAGATATTAGCAGCATCGCATGGTTCAGAAGTGGCTTGAACAGTAGTAACACCGGCATGTATGCTTGTCCACCTGGACAGGTAGATTCACAAGGAGTACATATCTAACAACTATAGCATGGGAAGGATCTCCATCATCATCTCGGCATCTTGAAGAGAATTTTGTAAGCTATGTCAACGAGCATGAGGAAGCGGCAGTTAGCATCAGAAACGAAGGGAATCCATTAAGAATGACTGGAAGTTAAAGTCTCCATTAGTGACGGTGCGAAAATTGTCTCACATTCTGATGATGCTGATGTATAATTAGCTAAACAGAATGGTTCAGTTTTCAGACTTTTTCTCCAACATCTACGAGTAAGAAGACAATATGAAGTAAGAACCTTTGGAAATTTTGGTACTTCTAGCCTTGTTAGTTCCTTTTTGCAATTTGTGATAGTTGTAGATGAGGTCTTAATACTTTTTCATCCTTTTATGGAAGGCAGTATGCATCTCTTAGCCTGAAAACTTTGAAGCTTCATGGCCTTAATATCAAGCTTTATATCATTTTTTTGTCACATAGAAGAACAGATTTGAAGATTTTGTTGCTCTCCAGACAGTTAATGTCCTCCTAAATTTACCTTTTGTTTTAATAATGCATTAAAGTTCTCGAGTTGACTTGATTAAAAGCATAGTTATCAGAATCGGACCGGAAAAGATGGTCAGTCCAGAAAATTGAACCATTAATTGGTCTAATTTAATTATTAAAATGATGAATTCAAAAATCAGAATGAACTGATTGGCTCACTCAAAAATCAGATATTACTTAAATATCATTAATTTTAAATTTTTATTATTCATATTTAAAAGGATATTTACATTGAAATTAGGATTGATGTGAGAAATCAGTTTAGTATAATTATCACCAATATTTCCATTTATAAAGTTGGTTGATGTTATCAATTTTATAATTTTCTGTATAATTTTTTTAATTAATTATAATTTGTTATTATATATAATGTCAAATAATTTAATATATTTTAAAAACATCTTTTAATTAAACCTACGATTCGATCGGTTGACCCGTCAATTTAACCCGCGACCGAAACTTTGACCGAACGACTTTCCGATTCAGTTCTAATAACTATGATTTAAAACCGAGAATTGCGCGGGACGGAAGGGATCAGCTTTTTGATTCGTGATGGAAATCTTTTCCTTCTTCTGATCTCTTTCTTTCTTTTTTGTTTCTCGAATTCTGATGGTTTCCTTTTGCCACTAAAAGAACAGAAGCGGAGATTTCAGTCCCCAAAACTTCCTCTCTTACAGGGATCAATACAATTCGGCCGTCAGGTGGGGCAGCGACTGCGGTGGCGACACCCAACTCCTCCTCGTACAGGGAGAGTAATCCGTAGCACTACGTGTCCCGCACGGCAGCGGTTTTGACGACCCGAACCTAAAGCCCGAAACCTCGACGTCTCCTGTCTTCTTCCTCCTCACCTAGTTCAAGAAACTCTCTCCTTCCTCTCTTGCTTCATGGGTGGAGGGCTCTCCCGTCATGATTCGCCCTCTGTGGCTGACACAAGCGCCCCATCCAATCTCGATAAAGATCAGGTACTGTCGCCTCTCATCTTCATCTCGAGGCTTTGTTTCCTGTTTGATGTCTGACGATTGTCTGATGTCCCGTGTTCTTTATTTCCTCTGTTCTCAAGGTTTCGATTCTGGTTTCTGTAATCTGTGCGACCAACTGCAACCTTTAGATCTGTGTTCTAGTCTCTGATGCAAATAACCATGAATAGAACCAGTTTGGGTTTTACTATCTCTCTCTCTCTCT